CTCTTTCCTGTCTGTTCAAAAATGCTGGCTCCACACAGGCACAGACACCTGAGTCGGGTAGAACCTGTCAGCTGACTGGACCCCCAGATTGAAGAGTGGTTGGGGGGGTGCTGGCTGCAGCCTGGCCTGTCGGCCCTAAAAGGCAGAGACCATTCCAGCCTCCCAGGAATGGGGAAAAGGTGGGAACTGAGCTGGCTCAGAGGCCTTCCTGCACTTCCTGCCTAATCTCCAAAGTAAAATTAAACTGCCGATGCAGATGCAAATGGATGGTGGTGGCCTGGCTGCCTCAGCTCAGGCCGGCAGAGCCTGGTCCTCAATCACTTGCTTCCTCCTGTTCCCTTAGAAGACATTTATATCTCCAGAAAAGGGAAAGATTTTGCTCATTTCATTCAAGAAGCTTGATTTGGTCTACAAGCACCGAATAAATAGCTAGAGAAAGGGCTTTTATTTTTTACAGTTCCTGAGAGGGTGTGTTTGCTTTGAGGCCAAGACCCAATTTCTAGGAAGGTACTAAATTGACTAGGATTACCTTCATGAGAAGCAATTAAAATCGATTTCTCTCTTTCGGAAGCTCTTATTTCACTCCAAAGAGCAAATTAGCTACCTGTCTAAAGCACAGATTATTCGCCGGGAATCTAGCTCTGGCCACATCCTCAGCTCATACCGAATGTCATGGGGGCGGCTGATGAGAAAGTGCTTTGTCCTTCGGAGAGAACCCGAGATGACATTGCCCCGGTTCCAGCAAGAAATGTGCTGGGAGATGCTTGCCCTGCACCAGGGAGGCGTGCCATGGAACCATCCAGATGCCCTGCGCCTCTTGTTGACCCAAATGGCCTGGGTTGGTAAGTTGATGTCCCTCTAGGGCTCGAGTATGATTCAAAGTTGGGGCCAAAGCTGTCCGGACCCCATCACAGGATCCCAAGTGGCTGCTGCACAGGGGAAGTGGGGGAACCTTGGTCCTTGGGTGCAGATTTGCCTCATATTGGGAGGGTCCAAGGTCGGCTGAGCACAGTCAGCTGGAGTAGAATCTGCCTTGTGTCAAGTACAAATCGAAACAGCTGTAAAGTCAGAGTAAAGGCCCAACCAGGCATCCTCGACCTGTGATTGCCACTGCCCCCCAAGCTGCCTGGCTCCTGGCTCCCCACCACTACCCCACTGAGGAAGCACTGAGACTGAGCCCCCAACCCTGCCCTGGTGGTGTGAGCTGCCCCTTGAAGAGACATGACATCCTGGGAGTTGGGGTGGAGAGCAGGTGGACGGGGGAGCACGTGGTGGGGGCCTGGCCTGCAAGTGGACGTGGGAACACAGGACAGAGGAAGAAAGGAGATGGGAAGGGCAGAGGTTGCTGAGGCCCAAGGATGGCTGCAGTTTGGTGCCTGGGAGGGTCACACAGTTCTCTCCCCGGCTCCATCCTCGGAGTGGCGTGACTGCAGTCCACACACAGGGATGCAGGTGGTAGGGGCACTTCGGTAAGCTCCTCCCACAATTGCTCATCAGCCTTGGACCACCAGAGTCCTTCTCTCACGTGAGCCCCTTCCCCTCTTTCTTGCTGCTGTTTTACCCCAGCCCCAATTCAGAATGGGCAAGAGGAGGACACAACACCTGACATACTAGGATGATAATCCCATCAGCAGTTGGCTTTTGCCACAGCTCTCCAGCCCCTCTTCAGAAGTCCAAGGGCACATGCCTGAGTCTGTGTCATGGGGGAGAGCCTGGCAGCAGGCCCCCAGGACAAGGAAGGCAGGCAGATCCCACCCATCCCAATGCCCTGGCAGACAGCACCTGGCACTTGGCTGCCCCTCCATGAAGAGAGAGCCATAGCCTATTCACCTGGGCAGGTGGTGGTGAGTGGAGGGAGGCCTCTATCTTTGTCTAGACATCCCCAGGCCCCAGAAGGAAGCCCCCTCTCCCCCGGCACATGATACATACACTTTGGCTTGCGAAGGGGTACTGGGTGCACCTCGGTGGTGATGGTTTTAGGCGACAGGAGCTGTTCCTTTGAGCCCCAGTCTTCTTCCCACTGCTTCTTAAAATTCTCTTCCTCCTCCACGATCCTGAAATAAGATGCCTGTGACTGGAGTCAGAACCTCTGCAGGCCTGCCTCCTGCCTATTGGGGAACGCCAACCAGCCTGGGGAGAAGCCACGTGGTTGTAGCTGTGACGAAAACGAGTCTCTGGCACTTGTATTCTAAATCAGGTGTGAATGCCACCCTGACAGTTACAAGACTGTATTCCAGTTACCCTAATATGATGGGTTTTACTAGGATTATGGAATGACTACACATAAAGGACGGTCCACCAGGGGACAAGAGGGCCAGGTAAACTGGGCCTGGAGGTGGCCTCTGGGGCGGCGCTCCTGCGAGTACACTCACGTCCACGCACAGACATGTGTGTGCAGACACATGGGGCCAAGGCACTCACTGTTCCATCTCCTTCCGGTATCTCTCATTTTCCTCTGCTGCCTTCTGGGCAATTTCCTTTTTCCTTCTGAAACACAAATGCAAGTTGGCATGTTGGAGTCTATGTCAGAGAAGTTAACTCTTCCTTGCAGCTAATCTCTGATTTGAGAAAAGTTTTAAATATTTCTTCCAGGCTCCTTTCCAAGGATGCCTGGACCAAATTTGGATGCTGGGAAAGAGGGTCCAGAAAAGTCTGGATCCTGTGCTCTTGTGTGGTTTCGTCTGGCACTGCTGAGCAGAGATTCTGCACTGCGGGAGACTGGAGGCAGTTCAGTGCAGGCCACATGCCATGCAGCCACCTCTAGACACCAGCATAAAGTGACTGACTGAGTGAGGTCCTCCCAGAGGAGGGCCCCAGACCCCAGAGGCAAAGCCGGGGCTGCTAAGCAAGGCCAGGGTAATGGGCAGAGGTACCACCCAGGGTGGTTCTTCAGGCAAATTCTGTGATGGGAGAGGTGGAAAGATCCTGTCCACTTTCCCTTCCCAAATTCTTATTATGCTCATAGAATGTACCTGGATTGGGATCTTGACAATAGTTTTTTTTTTTTTTTTTTTTTTTTTTTTTTTTTTTTTTTTTGCGGTACGCGGGCCTCTCACTGTTGTGGCCTCCTCCGTTGCGGAGCACAGGCTCCAGACACGCAGGCTCAGCGGTCATGGCTCACGGGCCCAGCCGCTCCGCGGCACGTGGGATCTTCCCGGACCGGGGCACGAACCCGTGTCCCCTGCATCGGCAGGCGGACTCTCAACCGCTGCGCCACCAGGGAAGCCCGACAATAGTTTTTGACTTATGAATTCTCTCAGTCATCATCCCAGCCACTCTGGGGTTGGTGGGGGGTAGTTCTTATCACCATAGATGGGGCAGCCAAACTGCCTAGGTATGAATTCCACAGCTTAGCCATGTCTGACTTTGTACACAAGTGGTGTAACCTCTCTGAATCTCAGTCTCCTCACCTATAAAATAGGTTAATACCATCTATCTCCCAGGGCTATTATGGGAATTCAGTTGAGGAACGTAAACAAGGCCCTAATACAATGCCAGCCATGTGGCTGGTACTTGACAAATGTTAGTTATTGCTAGTAGCATCCTCATTTTCCATACTCCTGGGTCTTGGAAATCAAGGGCTTTCCTTGGCAAGGAGGGAGGAGCCTCGTGGTCTGGAGGCAGGGGATGCTTCCACTGCGCATCACTGAACCCATCTGGTCTGAAGACAGGCCTCAGGGGAGAGAATAGTCAGCTCAGGATGCGGTGGGCAGGAAGAAAGGCGGGTAGGATGGTGCAGTGGTCTGGGAGGGCAGGGCAGGGGCCTCCTGGCTGGCCACACTCACTGCCGCTCCATCTCCTGCTGCTCCTGGAGGATCTTGTTGGATTCCATCGCCAGCCGCTTCTGCATCAGAAGCTCCTGTCGCTGCAGCTCGCGCTGCCGGAACTCTGCCAGTCGCTCCCGGTCTGTCATGAACAGCTCCCGGCCCTCATGGGGAGAAAAGAGGCGCCTTGCTCAGTCCCCTGGGAACCTAGAAGTCCACTGCCAGAGTTTGAGGGCCAAGATTTGGGTTGCCTTCTCATCTCCGTGGCCCCCCATGTCAGGCATTGTGGCTCCTGCTCTGTCTGACCCAAGCTTCTGGCTGGGCAGAAATCCTCCCCAGCTGCTATCAGAGCTTCAGGGAAGAAGACCCCTTGGCCTTTCCCGTGAGTGTGTGGCAGAGATCAGGGGTCTGAGCAGCTGGGCTGCAGGTCAGGGGCCACGGGGCCCCCACCAGCTCGTTCTGGACTTACAGCTCCAGCTACGACGGAGATGGTCAGGCTGCGGCTGCTCTTCAGCACGTTCACGGCCTGTGGGGACAGGCAGATAGTCAGCTGAGACCTGACAGATCAGAGTGGTTGAGGCCTCTGGAGAGCACAGAAGGTTTCAGACACTGTGGCAAGGGGGACGTAGGTGAGAAGAGGACAGCAGAGAGGATCACAGCCAGAAGGTGAAAAACCCACACCTCACCTCCTTGTGGTCCAGGTTGGAGAAGTCGATGCCATTGACTTCGACAATCTGGTCCCCTGGCTGGTGGAGAAATGGAGCGGGATCAGCATGTTTGTATTATCTGTACACTCAGTCTGTTGGAAGAGCTCCCCCTGGAGGCCAGCATCAGATGTTGGGTCTTCAAGTAGCTGTACCTCAACTCTTCCGAAAGAGCAGAGTTCCAATGGGCTCCTCCCAGGGCTCCTCCACCCCATATCTCTTTCATCAGTTGTCAAATATTACACCTTTAGAAGTTTATTACTTTGGCTGAATTTACAACATTTGCTTTAAAAACTCAGTTTGTAGACTTAGGAGCCTTTAAGCTTCTCATAGAGTAGATTCTGTGTGGAGTCATAATAATAATTAGTATAATAGCTAACATTAATCGATCCCTCAGTATGTACCAGACGCAGTTCTAAGCATATGTATTAATACATTTAATCTACACAATGACCCCCAGAAGGAAGGCTAGTACCCCCATTTTACAGGATAGGAAACTGAAGCACAGAAAGAGGAAATAACTTGTCCAAAGAAGAGGTTAAGAGTTCTAGCTAGCTCTGGAATCAGACCACCTAGGTTTGAATCCCAGCCCTGCCATACTACGTACATGATCTTGGAAAGATCTTTCTCTGGCTCTCAGTTTCCTCATCTGTAAAATGAGGCTAACGATAGTACCTAATTTTCAGAGTTCTCATACATTTTAAAGGGCTTAGAACAATGTCCAATCCAGTTAACGCTCAATGAATGTCAATTCTGATTATTATTACTACATCCCAAGCTCAGGACCAAAGGCTCTCAGAGCTGGAGAAGGGCTGGAGAAAGGCTCAAATGTCACCCACTCTGTGAAGCCTTCCCTTTGGGGGTTAATAGGAATCATCAGCCAGTGAGTGTTGAGAGAGGGCTGTGTGGGAAAGCACGTGCTCCATCCCTGTGTGATCACAGTCTGACCCTGCACCCCACAGGGGCAGGCCCAGGGTCACTCACCTCCAGCCCCACCTCAGCAGACAGGGAGCCAGGCTTCACGTGGCTGATGAAGATGCCAGGTTTCTGGATGGGGCCGCTGGAAATGCTGTGGGAGATACGGGAGATCAGGTGAGCCTCTGCTCTTCAGTGCTTGGTCATTTTCAATGACCGGGCCCCTATACCTGTGTGCCCAGGTCACGCATGAGCTCAGTACCCAAGCCCTCTGTCATCTACCTGTTCAGCCTCTGTCTACCTGTCCAGCCTCATTTCCCTGTGTCAACCACCACAGAAAGTTACTTCTAATTCCCCCTACCCAACCTCTCATCCAACATATTGCATATGCTGTTTCTTCTCTCTTTCTAGCATTTTCCTATGCATTCCTCAACACTCAAATGTTATCTCCTCTACAAGGTTTTAACCAATCTCCTTATTCTATCCCCTGACTAAGCTGGTTGCTTCCTTCCCCGTGCTCCTAAAACACCTACAGCAAGGATGGAACTTGTACTGTTTGTTAATCTCCCCTCCCAGATCTGTGGCAGATACCACTAATCAATCACAACACTCTTTCCACCTACGCCTAGATACAGCATTAAAGTTCTTTTCAAAATAGTACTCCAGGGCAGCCACCACTAACTGATTAGAGATATAGCACAGGATGGAAAACTTATTTGCCATGCCTGACCCAGAATGCAGCTCCATGACAGAGTCCCTCAATACTGTAACTATTTATGTGGTTGGCTTCTATATTAAGCTATAATTTCTTAGAAAGGAGGGGATTTTTTTTTATCACTTATGCTTGTCAGAAAAGTGTTGAATAAATGTGATGGAATGGAAATAAGAAGAATAACTTAGGGAATTCCCTGGTGGTCCAGTGGTTAGGACTCTGCGCTTTCGCTGCTGAGGGCCCAGATTCAATCTCTGGTCAGGGAACTAGGATCACACAAGCCTTGTGGTGTGGTCAAAAAGAAAAAGACAAATAATAATAGCTAATATTTACAAACTGCTTACTACCTGCCAGGCACTAAGCTTGGTACTTCATTCTGTCATCTCACTCTTCCTCACAACAGCCTTGTGATATGGGGACTATTACTGCTGATTTATAGAGAAAGAAACTGAGGGGACTTCCCTGGTGGCACAGTGGTTAAGACTCTGTGCTCCCAATGCAGGGAGCCCGGATTTGATCCCTCGTCAGGGAACTAGATCCCACATGCATGCCGCAACTAAGAATCCGCATGCCACAACTAAGGAGTCCACGTGCCGCAACTAAGGAGCTGGCGAGCTGCAACTAAGGAGCCCACCTGCCGCAACTAAGACCTGATGCAACTAAAAACAAACAAACAAACAAACAAATAAATAAAAGAAACTGAGGGTCAGGGTGGTTAAGTAACTAGTCCAAGGTTCTAGAGTTCATAGGTGGCACAGCAGGGCCTAGATCTCTAACTGAAGTACCGGTGTGCTTAACAAGAATGTCCCATGAGACCCAATGCCTGTTTGCAACTCCCTGGCTGCCTCCTAAGGAAGCCACAAGGTAATAAGTGAGAAGGGAACTGTGACAGAGATGATCAGCTTGACAGGTTCCTTTTGCATGACTTGAGGGCCCACCAAAGGAACATGGCCCTGCCTTTGGGCCTCAGTTTCCTCCTCTGTAAAATGGGCCTGTTAGAGCTGTCCCTCTGACCCTACAGGGCTGTTGTGAAGCTCAGAGGGGAAATCAAGCACCAAGAAGTGTCATCACTAGTGGACAAAAGTCTCCTCAGAAGCAGCAGTGAGAAAGGGGAGTGGTGTGAGGGACCTATTGGGGTCTGCTGGCCATGAGCGAGCCCCAGGGCGTACCTGCCACCCACCTGCAGCCAAGGCCCCGGGAGCCCACCAGGCTGATGAAGACCTTCTTCTCCTTGTTTTCCTGACTGCTGGGGGAGCCCAGGCTGGTCTGTCCACCCTGAGGGAGGGAGACGATAAGGTCACTGGGTGTCCGCATTGTGCAAGGGGCCTCTTGTGCTCATAAGGCCTTCAGGGCGAGTGATGCTGTCCCCACATGAGCCCGACTGCCGTTTTGTCCCTGGGAGTGTGTGTCTATACCAGCTGGGCCACCACCCACAGGGGCATTCTGGATGTGCTGGGGGCCTATATGAAGCCCCTGAGAACACATCCCTAGAGAAGGCCTTCCTTCAGGACCAGCTGCCCCATCCAGCCCATCCAGCCCCCATCACCGGCGGTCCTGACCCTTACCCCAGATTCCGACACAAACTGATCCACATACTGCCATTTGAGGGGCTCATCAGGAGAGCTGATGGCAGGGGAAAGTAGAAGGCGGGTCATTAGGGAGAGATGTTTGAGGCACCAGGCCCCAAATCCAAATCTTCCCCATCTGAAGCCTCCACCATCACTGGCCCAGGGGCAGTGCTGGCCAGACCCCAGGCTGATCCAGGACCCTGAGCCCATAGGGAGGAGTCTGCCTGCAGAGGAAGGTCCTTCTCACCTCTTCACAGGGATCAGGCCGATGTCTGTGGGAGAAAGGCATGGGGGTTAGGATGGCTCCTCTGCCCTCCCTTCCTCCCCTAGGAGCTGGGTACCACCAGGTGCCCCACCCTGCCCCACCGTCAGCACCCCCGTGCTCTGGCCTCACTCACGTCTCACTTTGATGGACACAGTCTTCTTGGTGCGGATGAGGTTGATGACCTCCTCATGGGTGCAGGAGGCAATGGAATACCCATTGATCCGGACGATCTCGTCCCCTACCTTAACCACAGGCAGAGAGAAGACGCACCAGGGTGAGGAAGCATCAGGCAGCTGGGCAGGCTCGTGGCCAGATACTCCTGGCCTGCTCTCCAGGAGTCTTTCTGCCCATTTTACAGATGGGGGAACCAAGATGGGGGCGAGGGGCACAGAGAGCGGGTAGCAGAGCTGGGAGGAGAAGTCAGGATTCTGTACCCTCACTCTGTCCCTTCCACCCACTGGGGCACCATCAGGTTCTGGAATTTATGCGAAGGGCGACCCTCCACCAAGATTCAGGCAGCTCTTCCCTGGCCTTTGTCCTCTGAGCACCTTGGCCCTGGGGATCAGTCCTGAAGCTCCCCATTTAATAACTACGGGGCTGGAAGGATCCTCAGACATCAGTTGAAACTGAGGCCCAGGAGGTGATGTTTTGTCCACAGTCACAGTCATTAGCTACAGAGCAGGGACTGGATCGTGGACGACCCGACCCTCTCCAGCCTGAGGCCAGGGCAGGTCAGCTGGCGGCCTACCTCACACCACACATGCTGACCCTTTAGAGACTTGTTAGTAAGTGTAGGGGACGCAGCTTGACTCTCAGTGAGGTCTGGGTGGGCACATAGCCTCTGAGGGGTCCTCCGGGCCAACACCTACCCTTTACAACACCCCCCAGAGTCACCTTCTCCCTATTGTCACCCGAACACTTCCCTTCCACACCTGGACCCAGACCCCCGTCTTCTCAGCGGTCTGGCAAGGGGCTCAAAGAGGTGCCACGGGGGTGGGGGGGCCGTCACTGAGGACCCCTCTAGGCTTCTGGGGCCTTCTCATGGAAGGAGAATGGCTGGATGGCCTCCTTGCACCAGTTCTTCACAACAACTCTGCGTGTCTGTTAATCAGATGAGGAAACTGAGGCTCGGAGAGGTGAGGTGACCTGCTCAAGGTCATCCAGCTAGTGAACAGTGTTGCTGAGATTTGACATCAGGGCTCCCTGACAGACAAGTGTTGTCTCTTGGGTGTCTGGAAGCAGAAAAGAAGGGACTCTGGCCAAGCTTGGCTGCAGTTCCCTGTGTCCTGTCCTCTCTGGATACTTGCCACCTGACAGAGCCCTCAAGTCCCATAGGAAAGGCAGGGATAACTCTGTCCATTTTACAGCTGGGACAGCCAAGGTACACAGAATTATTCTCTAGCCTTGGACTATACGGCAAGTTGTGCAGGGCAGAGGATGTACGTTCAGACAGGATACACTTGGACAAAAATCTAAAATAACTCCAGTAGGGGGACAAGTGCAGAGATGGAGGAGTCCCAGGGCTGGGTCCAAGGCCCCCACTCGGGGCCCAGACTCACAGGTCAAATCAACGGGACCTTCAGTTGAGCCAGGCTGTATCTGAACGTACCCCTCCCCCACCCTCAGACATGCGATCTCCCCAGAAACATGAACCCCACCCAGACAGGTGAATGGATGCAGATGTTTTCCCCAAGCTGCTCTGAGTGAAGCTCCCTGTGTTGTTCCAAAAGGGAACCTGCCAGGGACCCCAGTGGAATGATTCCCACACAACCCCCGGCTCAGCTTGCAGGATTGGCTTTCCTCTCCCTCTCGCTCCTGCGTGGAGCCCTGCAAAAGGCCCTTTGTGCAAGGGCAACAGTGAAATGACGATCTGAGGGACAGCGGCACAAAGGAGAGATGAGCCCGTTAACCCGAGAAAGGGTTGATAATTCATAAGCCTGAGAAACAGGCAGGAAGGTAAAAGTCTAAGTTCCATTAAAATGCCCTGATGCCCCCAATCATGGAGGAATCGTTGAGAAATGCTTGTCCTAGGAGGAGACCTCACCCTGGAAAGAAAAGAGGGCTCAGCTGACGCCAAGAGAAGAGCTCATTATGTTTTTTCTCTGGCTGTGTTTCTGGGCTGGAAAATGTGTGGCACAGGAGAGGAATAATGAAGGGGCTGAAATTTCAGACGCTACCAGTGAGCCGTGAGACAGGGATTTAGAACAAAGCAATGTCTGTCAGCTCCCAGTTTCCACCTCCCACTCCACGGTGTCTTGTACCATTAGCCTTCAGGGCCCCCGAAGCCCCTGGCTTGGCAGCCCAGATTGGGATGCTGGTAACAAACATGCTGGAAGCTCTGGGTGGGGGTGGGAGGGCCTCTTCCGTCTGGACATATAAAAACACAGCTCTGGGCTCTGGCAGGAGTGAGATCTGGAGGTCTGCCCATCTCTGCCCAGACACTGAGGCGTGGCGACCCCAAGGGAGGGGACCCTGGGGTGCTGAAGAGAGATCCCTGGACTTGGCAGTCAGGAGACCCAGGTTCAAATCCTGGCTTTGCCACTTACTGGCTGTGTGACTCTAGTCAAGTCCCTGATCTTCTATCAACTCTGTAAAATGGGGATGATAAAGCCAAGGCATACAATGAGAACTGGCTGTCAGCATGTTACCTGGCACATTATAGCTGTTTATTAAATCTCCCTCTCTGCTTGCTTAACAAACACACAGCATTAACTGGTATATATAGAATGGATAAACAACAAGGTATAGCACAGGGAACTATATTCAATATCCAGTGATAAACCATAATGGCTAGCACAGGGAACCATAATGGAAAAGAATATGAAAAAGAATGTATATATGTTTATAACTGAGTCACTTTGCTGTACAGCAGTAATTAACACATTGTAAATCAACTATACTTCAATAAAAAGAATAAATTTAGAAAAAAATAGTACATTCATATGATTCAAAAGCCAAATAATATTAAAAGACGTAGCCTTAAAAGACTCAATCTCACCTTATCCCCCATCCACTCCAGTTCCCCCTCCAACAAGTAACTGCTTTTCATTGTGTGTGTGTGTGTGTGTGTTTCCTTAAGCAAACACAAACAAATCATATATATTCTGGGAGCGTAAAATGCATGTTGTTTTCTGCAAACTAACACACAGCATTTATGTGCCAGATACTGATACAAGTACTTTGTAATATGAATTCATTTATTCCGGCGTAACAACCTGATGAGGTAAGTAGTATTATCATCATCCCATTTTACAGATGAGGAAACGGAGGCAGGGGGTTAAGTAATTTCACCGAAGTCACACAGCTAATGAATAGCAAAGCCAGGACATTCCAGCTCCAGAGTCTATGCTCTGAAGCACTGCACTATGCCAGTATTTCCTTTTCCCTTCCAGGGAGAAGGCTATGTGTCCAGAACTTCAGGTGTCAGGACATAATTATGCTCTTCCTTCATAAGACATAAGGGAGGTGGGGTGCAGTGCAGCAGGGGCAGCAACAGCTGGGAGCCAGGTTCTCAGCTCCACTCAAGAAAACAGGCAACACACTACTATATACAAAATAATAAGGACATACTGTACAGCACAGGGAACTCTACCCAATACTCTATAATGGCCTATATGGGAAAAGAATCTAAAAAAGAGTGGATATATGTATATGTGTAACTGATTCACTTTGCTGTACACCTGAAACTAAGACAACATTGTAAATCAACTAGACTCCAATAAAAATTGAAAGAAGAAAAAAGAAAACAGGCAAGTGCCTGCAGCCACTCTTCTATAGGTCCGAGGACAATCTGTCAGGATACGTCACCCTTTTCCTCTCCCAAAGGCTCAGAAGGGCGAGGTGACCATGTTACACCACACAGCCTAGTGAGGGGGAGGCAGGAAGCCTGAGGGCTTGGTCCCCACATCCCCCGAGCTCTGCTCACTCACCTGGAGCCCGATGCTGTCTGCCTGGCCACCTTTGATGAGGTGGGAGATGAAGAGCCCGCAGCCGAACTCGAGGCCACCACGCACGCTAAGGCCGAGGCCTTCGGGGTGCAGCCGGTCCAGACGCACCTCCTTCAGCTTCCTGCCAAGGGAGGAGGGGCCGGTGACGGCCCAGCTCTGGCCTGATGGCCAGCACTGCCCCATCCACTCGTGAGCAGCCCTGTCCATCCCAGGGTGACCTCTCCCACCCCCGCCTCCAGCCTGTGGCTCCCTCCGTACCTGGAGCGCCGGGGGGTTAGTTGGTCGTACTCCACCTGGTGCTTCAGTGGGATCAGAGGCCTGATGGCATCAAACAGGGGCAGGCGGCTGGGCTCGTTGATGACCAGCTTCAGGTCTCCCACAAGCACGGCCACGTCCATGGTTCTGCAGAGACACAGGGACCCTGAAGCCTCCCCCTTGGCCATGACCTCTGAGACCCAAGGATTCCCAGAGGAAGCAGTCCTGGGCTGGGTCCCCACCCACTGGGCCCAGGCCTTGGAATTGAGGAGAACTCTCCTGAAAAGCCCAGAGCCCCTAACGATGGGTCAGGTGCCTCAGAAGAGTTTGTTCTCTCATGTAAGTATCTCAAGGAAACCATCGAAGTAGGGGTTGTTAACCCATCCTGCGGATGAAATCAAGCCAGGATTCAAAGTCAGCTCTGCCTACTTCTGAAGCCCAGCATCCTTCCAGACAGGAAACCTCTGTGAGATGGCGGTGAGCCCTCTCATCCCCTTGTCTCCTGCTCTGAGCTGCAGCCTCATACTATCTCTCACAAGCCTCTACCTCAGACCGTTCAGACCCTCAACGTCTGGGGCCAGCACTTCTCCAGCTGCCAGCTGACTGGCTCACTCTCAGCCCATTTTTTTTTTAAATGTAAATTGCTCCCCTTCTCAAAACCCTTCGATGGCTCCCCACTTCCCAGGGGACACACTCCATCCTTCTTGGTAGGCTCAGGGCCTCCATGACCTGTTTCTGTGGAACTGCCCAGGCTGGTGGCTGTTATGGTCTCTGTCACAACCTGTGCTTTCACATCTCTAAACCGTTGCTAATGTTCATCTCTCATCCTGGAATGTCCTTCCCTGATATTTCCACCCAGCAAAATCCTTCTTACCCTTCAAAAACCTAGCTCAAGCCTTCTTGATCCTCCCTCCACAGTTAGAACTGAGAACTCCTTTCTTTACATTCCTGC